CTTGGAAGATGCTTAGGAAGGTTCCCAAGAGCACTGAAAGCTAGTAACCGCAATACAAGCTAGCCTTTGTACCAGCAAACGAATCACCGTCTTATAGATCCCTAGCATAAGGTCAAGGCGTAGGGCATCATAAATCTTTTTAACTCGGAGTTAGTGCTCATTTTAGAGTTTAGCTAAGGTGTAAGAGAGACTCCCAAATGCTTAGCGCTATAAGAAAAGGGACGGAGTATGCCCATTTAAAGGAGGTAGTTTGATATTAGGAATCTATATGCTTCTGGTGAATAAAGATAAAGGGCAGCTTTCTGTGCAAGAACTCAGTGTCAGGAAGCATCCTTTGTGAAATAATTGAAAGGGTTCCAAACCACAGAAAAAAGGAAAGGCCCTTGTTATTTTTCCTAAAATCAAGCATTTTCTTATGGACAGCGACATTTTTCGAGCTTTAATTCACTAAATAATATTTCTACATAAATTAATGCAATTAAATATATGTACTGTGAATAAATGAATACCCCTATTGCGTTTTCTTTATAATTATTTGTATCATAAATTATGTAAAAAAATACCAATTTTAAAAATTTTGTATGCATATAAAAACCGACTCATAAATAAAGTTATGTATGTATTTATGTAGCATATTTCGCACAATTCAATGCAGAGATCTCTTAAATATTAAGTCATAAAACCTTTCGCAACGCATGTATGTATGTATGTATTTTATTGTACAGTATTTCCTAGCTATGTAGTAACATTCCAGTAAAAAACACATACATACACATCACTAAAGCAAAAAATTTACAAAGAAAAAAGAAAAACAAGCAAATACCAAAATAAAAACGATAAAACAAAAACACTAAAAATTCTCAAAATGTGTGCCCAGTTCAGTTAAGGAAAGAGTTTGTTTTTTTTTTTTGAAATATGATTTTTTTTATAAAAAAGTGTACAAAAGTAATATAAATTTCGGAGAAAACAAAATTAAGCAAAAATTATTTTACAAAATGTCTGAGTATTATAATTAATGCTACATACATATTTTTGGAAGCAAAATTGATTATATGACAAAAAATTTAAACTTTAGGACATTTTAAGAAAATAAATTTAAATTTATAACGGACAAAATCGCAACGAATGCCTTTCGGAATAAAATTCAAAAATATAAAAAAAAAACTAAACAACAAACGACAATTTACTTGTAATAAAGTAATGTAAATTAATTATTATTGTATTATTAATGTAATGAGGAAGCGCGTATGACAAAATTAAATATTTATACACATGTGGAATTTTAGGAAAATCTAGGAACAAAAACATAAAATAAAATTAAACAAAATTAAGAAACAAAATTGATATTTAAATGCAAAATTTTAGACTGACTTTTATGCAACTGTGCAGGGCGCAGTGGAAAGTGGTAAAGGGGTTGGAAATTGCATTATGTTTTTTTTTTTTACTTTTTTTCGTTCAAATAAAAAGTGTTATATGTATATGGAAAAGAGATTTTTAATTGAATGTGTTACAAAGTAAATATTATTGTTTTAGACCACAATATTACTGACAAATTTTTTAATCCACTGGACTTAATTTGAAAAAAAAAATAATAATTTCAAGCGATTACGGCATTACGGCAAGTTATATCGAATTAGTTATAAAAAGCTTTCACCCATTTCAGACTCTGCAAATAGACGGAGTATTTCCAGCCAAGCTTCAAAAAGTCACACAAACAATAGTCCACTGCTAGAACCGATATACATAAGTACATTAGGTTGGTTCAAAAATGTACAGAAAATTCAAATTTTCTTGCTGCGATTACGGCATTACGGCAAGTTATATCGAATTAGTTATAAAAAGCTTTGACCCATTTCAGACTCTGCAAATAGACGGAGTATTTCCAGCCAAGCTTCAAAAAGTCACACAAACAATAGTACACTGCTAGAACCGATATACATAAGTACATTAGGTTGGTTCAAAAATGTACAGAAAATTCAAATTTTCTTGCTGCCACTCCCCAGACCCGTATTTTTTTTTTAATCGGTAAATATTTAACCATGCCACCGCACAGTAGTTCAAAACTGGCATTTACTGTTCATAATTCACTGGGGCCTTCATTTTTCACTCAATTTGATCTTTTTAATGAAATTTGCAAAAGACCAGTTGCGCGCGATTTTTGATAGTTGAAAACAATTGAAGGGCCCTTCAAAGCAAAAAAGGATTAAAAAAAATTTTTTTAATGTTAAAAAAAAAAATTCACAAACATTGAAAGAAAATTTTTTGGTATGCTGTTTTATAGAGCAACAAGTGCAAGTTTAAAGTGGCTAAGAGTTCGCGTTGATTTTTAATAATGCATATATGTATATAATAAGAATATAAATTATACCACATGCAGATGTGCTCGAAAAGTTAGCGACAAAAATATAAAAAATCAATGCGAACCTTCTTTACTTTCAACTTTCACTTTTTTTATACTAAAATTTAACGATCTATAATATAAAACTGCACACACAAAACTCAAAAAAAAATTAGCATATCAAATTTTTCTTGTGATGTTTTTTTTCAACTGTGTAACATTTATTAGCTGAAACCTTCAAAATTTGCTGCTTTTTCCGCACTTTCCGCATTATATAAACATATCTGCAAAAATTCAAAAATCGGGCTCAACTCGTTAAAAATATTTTTCATCGCCACTTAAAAGTTTTATTTGTATTTGACCTTATTTTATTTTCTTTTAGTTTTTTCATTTCTTTAAAAAATACTTAGAATCATCAAGAGCAACTTTATTTATTTGTTTTTCATTTAAATACATCAACAGACTCTTGCCGGCGAATGGCTTAGTGATTAAAATATTTATGTTTACATACACACGAATAAAACAGTGCGCACTAAATTAAAAATTTGGCTTAACTTCCATGGACTTTTTTAATGTTGATAATTTTTGCTATGTTCCACTTATGTCCATGCTTAACAAAAATATTTAAAAAGTGCCTTCGTACATTTTTTTTTTAACTGTATAAAGTTACATTTTTTTTTAATTCTACTGTGAATATTTACGTATTACTATTTGTGTGTTATTTACGTCACCTCGTTTGCCTATTGCCCGCCATGCACAGGTTTGAAAAGTATGTATTGCATATAAAGAAAAAAGAAAAAATAATGCATTTTTATATGTTTATAAAAAAAAAACTTTTGGATAGACAATGTTAAAAGAACGAGCAAAAAAGTTAACAAATTGATTTAGTACCTAATATTTTTATGATGAAAATGTTTCGGCCCAAACAAAATCGAATTTCAGGCAAAAGTTAGTTATATTTAATTTTTTTGCAATTTATGTTAACAAAGCACACAGAAAATCAAATCAAAACAAAACAAGTTTGTATGTAAGAAGAGAAAAAGAAATAAAATTATTTGTGAATGCAAAACTCAAATCAAAACTTAACTGCAATAACAACATTTTTCAATTTCAAATGTATGTATAAATACTGACACTCAAGGCTTACAAAGAACTAGCCATGTAATAGCGTAAATTAAGTTACATAACTGATATGCAGTTCACTCCAAACAAGTAAAAAAAATGAATTCCTTCGTGGAGAATTTTCCTAAAAAAACTGTTTTATGATTTATGTATGTCCTGAAACGTAGAATATACTTAGTAAACAGCCAACTTTTGTGTGATTGCAGTTTTGTAAAAACACAAGCAAAAAATTATTAATTTTATTACCAAACAAAGAAAAACAATAATAAAATAATCTACAATAGACTCAATTAAATACATAAGAATAAATCAAAAGCAAATGTTTTCAAATAACCAACGTGTAGTGATTCTTTTTAGTAAGCAGCAGATTGTCACGCAATACAGACGCACTCAAAAGCAGAATACATACACTATAAAAAGATGATGCAGCAAATCATTCTCTACATACATACATAGATCTCAGTATGCATGTAAAAAAAAAAAACAGCATGCAAATCTTCTATTAAAAATAATAGCAAAAAAAATCTTTCTGCGCTCTCGCCGCCATTTGAATTGCTATCCAGGACACTACATAAATACAAAACTGAAGAATTGTTTAAAATACCCATAAAGAAGGACCTAAAATCTGCAGCCTATTTCAAAAACAAAATGGGAATGTTTTTAAATAAAAACGCATACAAAAAAAAATTGAAAGCACTTGCAAATCACACGAAATAATCATGTTTTCTTTTTTCTTGCCGTATATAAAATATTGTAGGTACTAATATGTACCGTATGTATGTATGCATGTGTAAGCCAAACTCAAAACTTGAACCACAACAAAGTTAGTATTTATTCCGGAATGTAGAAAAAAGAACTAGTACATTTAGTTCATTTTAATTTTTCCAGTTATCCGCTAAACAAACAAATATGCACGAGAACATGCAGATAAGTATATGAATGTATGAACTCTATATGTATGTATGTATGAAAAAGGGCAAAGAAATTTTATGCAAAAGAAAAGTTAATTTAGAAACAAATTTTATGTTATAACTTCTCTAAGTAAACTATGTGCGAGTATCGAGCGATAAAATAGTGGTATTATAATTATAATTGTATCTGAATCTAAATAGCGTAATGGTATCTTTATTTAATTCATTAAATATACAAAGAGATGGAAATTGCGATAAGTGTTTTTATTTTATGTTATTAGAACTCACAAGTAAAGTAAGTACATTAAAAAAAAAAATGAAAATAAAAATTTTGTTAGCAGGTGAGGGATTAAACTGATTAAATCAGAAAAAATGCTGGTTTTAATTTTGGTCTTCGTGTAGTTGTAGAGAAAACATATGCATACATGCATCCCTTCATAATCACCTCGGATTGATCAAGCGAACCACAGTCTCAAAAGTCGAGCTCTGTGAATAATGTTTCTCACCGATTTTTTACGTTCACTGCCCCCCTATATACTTGTAAGAGCCGCGTGGCTGCAACAAACCTTAGCTATTTCCAAGACAGTCAGGTCTACCAGTCATTATTTGGGAAGATTGTATGCTGTTATAACAACAAAGCCCAGTTGTTTATTTTTACATAATCAAATAATTTATGTCGACAATTTAAATACACATTTTTTGCGTTTTAAGCTTAGGATGTGTGCGTGTATTTAATAATTCCATCAAATTTCGTACCTAAAATATTTGATTGAATATCGTTACAATAATTAATTATAAAGTGTAGATGTCTTTCATAATATATATGTGTATGTATGTATGTAGCTACATTAATAGAGTTAACGTTAAAGATATCTAATACATTATCAAGAATTAAAGATTCAAATCCTTAGAAACACATCATTTTATAAAATTGTATGGTTATATGACAACTTGGAGACATACATTATACATATTGTTTATAAATATGAACAAATTAACGTTAACGAACGTACGGAAGCTCCTATGAAAGAATTTCCAGTTCTCTTCGAATGTAGCAAATGTAGCAAATATGTATGTAAATTTGTGTACTCCAATTAGCAAGCGCCCGCCGATTCAGCAGCACTTGTACTGTGTATCTCTTCGTGTCGTTGTAATAGACTCAGGCACTGATGCAAACATTGTGTACTAGCTGTCGAAATGGCTTTGAGCAAAAGCAAGTCCGGATCTGTCGGTGAAAATGTTTCACATTCGATATTCTCAATTGTACGCGCTAACGTTGCATTACTGTAATGATTCAAATGTATAGACATGCTACATTGATATAATGGCTAAAATATAATTTTTCATTTTCATTACACTCACCATTGTTCGGTTAGGTAGAGTGCTTGTCTCGCCGAAACCATCGCATCTGAGGCGGCCAGCAACTCTCGTGGCGGCAGTGGTGATGAATTGCTAATGTCCATTGCTTTTGTATGACTTTCTACAACTGCACGCAAACCATCTACCCATTCTTGGCGTGAACGTGCATCGGCAGCACGCAATTTAAGCGTATCGCCAGAGGCACAGCCTATGGAAAATGTGCGTGAATCTTCGTCACTTGGGCAGACTACAGCACCTGCCAGCTGTACTTGACCTCGCGGCGCACTAGCCAAAACCTGTGCTGATGGCGTTGCTTCATCGCCCGACGAGGACGAGTCACACAAAAAGTAGCTAAGTGTGCCGGTCTGCGCGTCAACCGTGAACCAACGGTACTGCCAGCCTGTGAATTTGTACATATGGAATTTTGTAATGCACCTAAAAGTAAAGTTCTATACCTACACACCTTTCATGACATTGGTGTATTTGAAAAGCAGCCCATGTAGTGGATGACGTAAGGTTTGATTTAGCACTCGGTTGAGATTTGTATTATCCATGTTGGGGATGTCACCGATTCCGTTTGTTGATTTATCTATGGCTGTAACCACTTCTCCAATGGCAACTATTGAAACACTTCCGGGACCTTCCGTTTGTATTTGTTGTTTATGTTTCGATTTTCTTTTACGATGCTGTAACGTTAATTTGATTTTACGAAGAATTTTTGCAAATTTTGGAGGAAAACAAAATAATTGAAAATTTTAGAAGCAAAACGCAAATGCACCGAAAAGGCAGCTGCCAGAATTTTTAGTTGTCAATTTGACAAGAATGCATCTTGTGCAACACAGAAATGTTATGTGAAATGTAAATTTATCTTGCTACAGCTGTGCACAGCATTCCGACAAAATGCAGCTGACATTTTTAGAAATTTTTTAAATTCCATTATAGGGTATCAGTAAAAGAATTTAGTAATATGAAGCTTTTACTCTAATAATTAAAACTAATTTTCCACTATATTATAAACAAAAAAACCTGTATGATATTTGTGCATAATTTTGCGGCGCGAGCGAACGAACGAACGAAATAGTGAACGAGTTTTTGTTCGTTCGGCGGGCACGTTCAGTGTTGCCGGGTTGCTAATTGTACCTAAATTTGTGGTTTCACTTATTAACATAAGGCTTTGGTAGGCTGGTTGGTTGGTTGTGACTAAAAAGTAGGCAAATCACATAATTTATCATTTTATAAAACTTCAAGTGTCTCTGTTTTCGGGAATGATGTGAAAAGGAAAAGAGAAATGGGACACGCCAAAATTATTATTGAACCGAAGTTGAATGATGCACTGATAAGACTGTCCTCTAATCCTTAAAGCTTGTTTAGGTTCGAAGAAAATAATTAGATAATTATTACGCAAATACCAAATTTTACATTTCGCTAAAGCGAGTGAGTGGGGAGGAAGAGTATTTGTATTATATTTCCCTCTTATCCCTAAAGAAATTAATAGTTGACAGCTTTTAATTCGTGTAGCAGTAATTTTCAAAGCTCGACTTTGAGTTCGCGCTTATTTCTTCATTTATGCAGCATGCAGCATGCACACAAATTATGGATAAGTAAATTTGATTAAATTTTTTTATAATAAAGTTGTGTACCTACTTACAGAATTTAAATCTCATTAGCAAGACACATTTAGGGCCGGTTACTCAATGTCCAGTTAACACTAATCTGCGGTGAAACATTGTTATCGACGTCTTCGACTCCATGCATACAACAGGGAGTCGGTAACGTCGATAACTATGTTTAACCGGAGATTAGGGTTAACCAGACATTGAGTAACCGGCCGTTAGACAGGCTGAGAGCTATTTAGTACCAAATGTGTTAAAAATAGTTTAAGTGGCAACACTGCACCCGGTCCAAATCTCTACAAAGCAGGGTTGCATGTGTTGCGGATTTGCAATACAAAATAAATAAAGTTGCATCATGATTCATTATTAATACATAAATATATCATGAAGCTGCATGTACAAACAGTTCTTGTATAGTTTAATATTTTTATTAAGCATAATTAGATAGTTTCCTTAAAAAATTAGAATTGCTCATTGCTCAAAAAAATTTGTCTTATTTTTGTTCGCTATTGTTTTATTCCTATTTTCGTTGTCATCGACAACAGTGGAGAGTTTGGAGAGAATTGAAGAGAAAAAATTTGTTTCATTTCGTTCTCGCGTTGGGCAGCAAAATCCTCCTGCAAAATTTGTAATTTTCAATAAGAAATACCTAAAATTTAGACAAAATACAATCAAAAAGTGAATAATCAATGTGTGCGCTAATGAAATATTATAAAAAGTGTTCAAATTTATGGCGAAATAGTGGTTTTCCGGCAATACGAAATTTCTCAAAAAATCAATGACAGCAAAAAAGCAGCGGAGCACCAACATCAGCAAGACCAGGAGGAGCAAAAGAATAGCGGGAGGAAACAGAAATCGTCGAAGTAATGGGAGGATGAAGAAGAAGCAACGAACAGGCAAGTAGTTAAGCAGCAACCAGCGAAATCAGACAGTGAACCAGTCCGCCAGCGGCAACCAGCGCCGAAAACAACAACAATTACATATAATAAACGTTTTTTTTTTCCTTTCGCGTTTGTGTGATTTATTTTTATTTTTTGGGTACCTCTGTGCCAATGAATGATGGTTTTTGGCTGGTGATGAAGAATAATACGAAAAATATCCAAAAAAGTAAATATGACAATAAAGAAAGGTTTATAATAAAAGAAAACGAAGCAAAATTTGGAATGGTGTTGTCGCTGCATTGCTGATGATGCTGCAGAAGCTGACGTCGACGACGACAGCGGCAGCGACAGCGACAGCAGGCAGCACTTGTGGCAAAGTGTGCAGTGGAAGCAACATAAACGGAAATATCTTCGCCAGTAGTGATTGCTCAATGCAAATTAAAAGTTAATTAGTGTAAAGAAGAATTTATTAAATCCAAAAACGTAAAGTGAAGATAGAAAAGCACATATTTAGTACAATCTTACAATGGCATTGAAATAGTGATTAGAAATAGAAAAGAAATCGCGAATCAATTCCATATGTCTTGGTTGAACAGTTATTGGGATTTTTATATAAAAATTAAACCGACGAACAATTATTTCGATATTAAAAAACTATTCGGTGGCCAGTTGAGAAAAAACTGCCCAAGTTGAGGCAAGGTTACAGCACAAAATTGGCATAGGATATTAAACGAAAGGAACCAAACGGCAATGGCGGTAAAAAAGAAATTATTCGGAGAACGTAATAACCGTGAAATGGTTAGCCGAAAAATCGATTGAAATACTCATATTAGTGACCCTGAAAAAGGAACATACACACATTTGCGATATACAAAAGGCAATATTCCAACCATCACAGTGCAACTACAAATATGGATGGACAAAGAGCGCGCGATATTTTAACCCTTCTACAAGAACGTGTCGTATGTCTTACTGGTGGGAGGGATAGACGTGGTGGGCCCTTGCTCTGTTTTCCCGCGACACCTAAACGCGATCGTCTAAAACCGGAAGATTTGCGGCGTTTGTTGAGCTACTTGATTATGATACCAAGGTATGTTTTAGTTATAAGTACATATTCATTACTGACTATAACGTACATATATGTATTTTGTATTGCATACAAAGATTTCATCTTCTACTCATTTACAATATAATAGAGGGATTCTCTAAATCTTGAAAAGCCCTTGCACCGAGCACGTTCCCACGAGTGTCGGGTCTGCGTAACCGGATCGACCCAGATTTCTATCTGCCCAGGGACTGTAACTCCAGCAACAATCCCCAAAAACGCCTTGGGGAATTTGTATGCTGTTACAACAACAACAACAACGCGGTAAAAAATGGGTTTCCTATAGTTAAGCTTTGCAATCCGTGCACAGTGCAAGGGCTTTACGAGACTTCAAGAATCCTCCTAATAGGGATCTTCTATAGATCAAAGCTTGCTAAGCTTATTTGATATTTGCATCACAAGATTCAGAGACATAGAGCTGGTTAATAATTTTTTCAGGGTATGTGACCACCTATGTAGGTTTTGGCTATATTTAACTTCAACATTAGTCGGCACAGATTTCAAAAAAAGGCAAGAATGTGCGGTCTAGTTCGTGCACATTGCCAATCCAGAGAATCAAGATACAAGTGCCACCATATGTTCATCAGCAGTAACTAATTTCTTGTATGTCCATATTGTACACTCTTGCGTTTGTTCTCGCTTTTTGTAAGCATATTCTCTTCTTATGTTTCATGGCTTCCACTGTCCGCATTGTGGATAAAAGATATGCGAGGGAAATTTCATAGCGAATAAAATGCTTATAGCAGCGCGATTGCATATTGTGCCATGAATCATCTAAGTGATATGCGTTATGGACTCCATGCACAAGGCTGCAGGCTTATTGCAACCTGCGCCCATATGGTCAGTCAGCCGGTGTAAAATATGTATTTTGTGGTCATATTTGTACCTATGGACATATCTAAATACTAGACAAGTATGGACATGTTTATTATCTAGATATTTATTTACTATGATATTGAGCTGCTGCCAAAGAAATAACCTGCATAATAAAACAAAAATTCAAAAAAGGCACTCGGATACAAAAGCGCATTATTATATAAGGCATACTTATAGTTAAAATTCACACAAAATTAAAAGAGACATGCATTCAAAACAAAAGATAATATTTCTACGAATGTATTGTCACTCGAAAATTCACCAAAGAAGCATCACCCCGAATGCATTAACTTAGTAGGTACCCCGTACAAGGAAACTACTTACATACACAAATTAAAAACTAAAATAAAAATATTGAAAATAAACCAAAACGATACAATAGTCGCAACTAGGAACATCGCAATGGCACGCAACGCCCCAACAAAAGGCGAATTAAAAAAAAAAAGAAACAACACAAAAACAATTAAAAAAGAATCAGGCAGTCCCGACATACAGGCACATACTTCCATACGTCGTACATTCAAAGCTAAAGAAAAAAGTCCAAGTGAAAAATTACGCAAAATAAGCGAAAGAACATAAAAACAAAAAACAACGAGCAAAAATAATAAATCTACAGACAAAGAGCAGCAATGGAGGAGCACACTGCAGTGTTTGTCAAGACTTTAGGCAACTTTGGAAAAGGTGGCGGTGGCGATGACGGCGACCGCGACCGCGGCAAAAATGAGGAAAACAACGCTGGTGGCGGCCAACGCCGACGACTTGTGGCTGTGACTGCGGCAATGACGCGACTTTGGCGACGTTATTGGCTACCCAGTCGATAGCAGTACCATGGCCAACGCCTCCTACTCCGCTGGCATCATAAAAACCGATGTCAGCAACAGCAACGTCAGTCCTAGTGCCAAAACACACAGTGGCATACTATTTCTAAGGAAATCCATAAGCCATACACGTTAAAAATATGTCTTTGCATAAATATACTCGCAATAATACATACATACATGGAAATGATATATGATGTATATGTTCAAAAGGGAACCAAATGTGTACCCAGTGGTACAACGGAGTTACTTGAAATTTCCGGTTAAGTCGAGGTTGATGGCTGTTGTTTTGATAATTAATATGTAGCACTTCCAGAATTTTTTTAGGAGAAGACTGTTAAAGTGATAGCTTCACAATATTGGGATTTCGTAAGCCGCATTGAACTACTTGGAAAATGTCTTGCCTGTTACAAGAACAATAAAATACATTTTGGCCCATAATAAATACGACTGTTTGGAAAACGATTTTTCAGCCTGCTTCCACCCAACTACGCCTACATTATCACTCAATTTAATGATACTTTATAGATCTACCAATGCTTGAGTAACCAAATACACTTTAAAAGCTGCTCTCTTAAGTTTGAATGCCAGTCGTGGATAGTGTGAAACTATCCCCAAATAGTTTTTGGGGAAATTGACACGCCGTAGCCAGACATGAATCCGGTCGTTCCGGTTACGTAGACTCGGCATTGCAGAGTAGCCCCCTTGGATCGGTACAAAACTAGTTTTTTTTCTTATGCTATTCCAAATTTTCACTGCTGGGGAAATGTAAACATGTATGTTTTTACGTATGGATAAATATGTAGGTGTATAGATATATAGAATTTATATACCCAGTGGGAATTAGGAGCACGTAATAATACCTTATTAGCAACTTACTCTTCACCTGGCAGTCATTACCATTTCCCTGCCGAACGTCCCTTACTTTTACAAAGGCATGGCCGCCTTATGTAAGTAGGAATTTAGAATGTACATTTGGTATCAGACATACTTCTGAGCCGCTTTACAAAGTAAGTTACGTGTAATGCAGAGCAGTCGCTCGGAGTAGTTCGGTGTTTGGAAATAACTTCGGCTGCACGTTATTTTGCAACTGACAACGTAATGTGTCTTCGGAGGTGTTCATTTTGCCCTTTACTAGTAGATGACATTGGCCATGATGATAATTTTGGTACTAAAAACTGAAAGAAAACATGGCTTACCTCGCAAGGTGCTTACCTATTTTCCCAGTGGGTAAATGCATATGTATGTATGTATGTATATATGTACATAAGCTTCTGTCGAAATTAATGATTTAGTTCATTTGTGCAGGAGAATTTGCGAAATACTCAAATATACTATTAGTGACTGCGGAGGTGAGATGAACGCTGTGACAACAAACACTTATGAAAATAGTGATCAGTGGAAGATATATGTACATATACACATAAATCATATCAACGAATCTACGCAACTTCTGAGATAAATCAGTGCTAAAAATAGTCAACCTGTCAAATAAATATTCTACATTAAATAAAAGTATTTTCACATAGAACTAAATTATTTAGATTTAGGTTATGATAATAAGATGTCGCCACTCGCCATGTCGAATGGCATCTCCACTGTATCTGAATGAGTGGATGATAAGCTTATTGTTTCGAAGACAAGAAATACTTGCAACTATATCCAGCAAGGGCTCTTAAGCGCAGTATCAGGGATCTCAATAAGGATATTACAGCCCTAATCAATGAACACAAGTGGATGAGCATCTTCAGACCTGCATTCTACTCAGCGGATCAAGCAAAGAGTGGACGGCAGCTAAGTCTCCCTCCTATCGGGCGAAACGTAAGGATACTTTCCTTTGCATTATTTGGCCGACAATTCATTGCCTTACCAGAGAGAGACCAAGCCCGCCACGTAAGGCACACAAACTCCGTCCCGAGACATACCAACGTACCAAGCATAAAACGCTATAGATACAGGCATGAATCTCCATACAAACGCTGAAGATACTAAGGCCTGCGGGAGTTGAGTACACCGTTGCTCTAACTTGTCACAGTCCACACTGATCATTCCCTAGACGTGAAAAATCTGTAGAATTTCTTAACGCCCAAGCCATGTAGAAACCATGCCATGTAGAAACAAACCGGCCTATGTCAAGGCGGCGTACTCTCCCTGACGTTGTTTAATCTCTAGATGGCTGAACTTCCTTCGACGCTAGCTGGAGTTAGTTAGGTAAGCTGCGCTGATGATTCTGCGATAAGGCAACGGGCCCCTTACATCAACAGCTTTACTGCCAGAAATCTCGACATCACGAAATCCACTTTTCACCGCATGCACCGAAGATACTAGTTTCGAACTCGCCGTGTCCGATGGCAGAAAATTAACGACAGTCAGCCACAGATACAAACGGCACCCAACAATATGCTTAGCGATGCAGTCGGCCGCCGCCCATCAATAATGAGAAAAAAACGCCAAGAGAGTCAAGATGAACCCTAGGAAAACTTAGTTCTGGGTGGTGCCACAGGCTCAAGAGTTACCTCTTTGGACTGAACTCAGAAGTGGCAAACAGCTGCCCAGCATGTAGGCACGGTTAATACAACACCATCACCACTCCCAAATGATAAAAATTTCCAATTCCGAAAATTGTCCAACAAATCGCTGTTATCGAGAAACGAGAGAGTGGAAATACCTTTGAATACACTCGGACCAATAGACATCTAGTTAGCTCGATGAAAATCGGGACATATGCAACAAGTTTCAATTCTGGTGGATGTTTCTACAAGACACTGTTGAATTGGAATTCATGCGTCGGTACTAAATATTCTACTGAATCCTGACTGTCGCACCTGTTTTAAGGATGATGAGGATGAATCAGTCTTCGGTCTTAACTTCCCTAAAATAGGCTTCATATTCAGATTCAGTAGAAAATTTTACATAGAAAATGTTGATCAACACTCCCCAAAATTTCTTTTGGGGAATTTGTATGCTGTTACAAGAAGAAAAACAATCAAGCGTCAGAGATCAGAATTTTTGTTTTTAGCCGACTTCCAAAAAAGGAGGAGGTTATCAGTTCGTCGGAATATTTTTTTTTATGTATGTTACCGCATAACTTTGGGGATGTCCTACGAGATGGCAATTGTCAGATTTCAATCGGAAATATACCAGTCTCATACTACACCTTTTCCAACAGTATTTCAGAAAAGGCCAAATGTATTTCAGAAAACCTCAAATGTATTTCAGAAAATCTCAAATGTATTTCAGAAAAACCCAAATGTATTTCAGAAAAGCTCAAATTTATTTCAGAAAAACGCC